TTCCGTCAGCCACATCACCGAATCCGACTCTTCACAGAAAAAAGGCCGCCGACCGAAAAACGCGAAGGGAGGAGGGAGGTACGTTTTTGGTGCACAAGGCGGGAACAGATCGAGATATCATCAGAGGGCAGAGCATGCGACGTCCAACTCGTCGACGTCCAACTCGACTGCACACACTGCAGTCGCGCCGCCCTTCTCATATTTCGATGGACAGTACTTCACGTTGTGTCCTTTCCCTCCGCACTTCTGGCAACGCTGCTCGGGGCATTCACTCACATAGTGGTCCCCATCACAGATGTAGCATTTGACGGAGTTTTTGCCGTTCGCCAAGCACGCCTCTTCATCCCCCCCACGGCCCAGTTTCGACCGCCGTTTCCCTTTCCCCTTCGCCGCTACTGCTACGAAAGCATGTTGCGCTCGCCTGTCACTCTTCCCGTTCGTCTCCTCTACCTTCAGTGATGAAAGCGGCGCCGGTGAACTCGCCGCCGTTGTCCATGCGAAAACATCCCGGAGTGCCCATGCCGTTCATGTCGGCCAAGAAGCGCTTCACGTACTGCAGGTTGTCGCTCTTCGCCCGCATCCCGTACGCCCGTTGCAACCGCGAGGCGCTGTCGACGAACATGATGAGGTACCGGGAGCCGTCCATCGCTTCGGTGAACGGGCCCGTGAGGTCGATGTGGACCTTGCCGAACGGCACTGCCACGCGTGTCCCACGCCACGGCACCGGTGCTCTCCTCCCCTTCGCCTCCACACAGCCCACACATGGCTGCAGCTCCCCGACCAAACGAATCCTGCTGCTTGGCAGTCTCACGCATCAAAAAATAATTCACGTGGCCGGTGAAAGCGTGGACCAGGTTGATGTCGATGGTGGGCGTGGATTTTCCTACCGAAAATGGGGAAGCACCGGGGGCGATAATCGCCAACGCGTGGGAAAGAGACGGAGGGGCTGCGGCCTGCTGCTCATTGCACTCGGAAAGAAAATCTCTCAACACCTCCAAATCATNGGGGGGGGGGGGGGGGGGGGGGGGGGGGGGGGGGGGGGGGGGGGGGGGGCTCCGCAGACTCAGCTACTTCAAGCGCATCAGGAAAAAAAATCACCCGGGAGGACCGTGTCTTTGCCATCCATCAACCCAACATCCAGAAACATGCTTATGTCCATGATCGGTAATTCATCCTGGCTGGGAGAAAAGCNGGGGGGGGGCTCCGCAGACTCAGCTACTTCAAGCGCATCAGGAAAAAAAATCACCCGGGAGGACCGTGTCTTTGCCATCCATCAACCCAACATCCAGAAACATGCTTATGTCCATGATCGGTAATTCATCCTGGCTGGGAGAAAAGCGGGTTGATCTCGATCTCGCGAAAGTCTGTCAGCTCTACGGCAGGGGGAGACACAATCGAAGACGATTCTACGGCAGCCGTAATCACAGGCTGAAAATCGGGGATCGTCGTGGGGGTTGGGTCTACGTCGACTGACGAAAAAGCACAAATCGGAAACACTACACCGGAAGTGGTAGAGGGGACGCTCGAACACGAAGGTACTACACCGTCAGATCCGGTGGGCTGGGCGTCTGCAGTCGAAGGTACAACGCCGGCCGGTGCGACGGACTGGAAGCCAAAAGTCAAAGGTACAACGCCGTCCGATGCGACGGACTGGAAGCCAGAAGTCGCACTCGCACTCGTGCCCGTTCCTGCACTCTGGAAAAGGGAGGGGGTGGCCGCAACAAATCCTGTGCCAATGCTAGGCGGGGACGCTTGGGCAGACACACAGGGAGGGGCATCGGGGCTAGAGGTTACACCACGACCACTGTAATCCTGGGGCAATCGAGTAGCCCAGAGTGAGCATCCTACATCAGAGTATGCAAAGGAAAGCCTACCATCAAATAGGTGGACGCCGGTCTCGTCTAGAACGATACGCTGCCTACCCTGCGTGTGGTGCAACGAAAAAAGATTGAACGTGATACCAAGCACAAGTACACGTCCGACATCTGCACGCAAAAATCACGCTCTCCTGACTTGTCTTGCATGTGAAAGGCCATGTTGACCTTCCCCACACACTGCAAGCGCAAATAAGCACCGTTCCCAACCTGAGTTTACTCTTTTCCTGTCGGCACTGGCCTCAAGTCGAACATCTGATGGCTGCTGCTCACAAAGGCGTTGGTCGCACCGATGTCGGCCCAAAATTTCTCTCTGCCAAAATGGGAACGCGGGTTGTGTGCAGACAAAGCAAATCCACTACCATTTTCACGCTCGCTATTCGCTACAACACCACTAGGAATGATCTCGCCTGCAGACACGAAACGTGCCATCAAGGAGTGAAGGGAGCCGGGGGACGGTGCTGCTGCTCCGGGAGGAGCCGAGTAGGGCGGGGCATGGGTCGAATGCTGCTGCTGCTGCGGCGGCTGCTGCTGCTGGAACGTCGGCGGAGGCGGAGGCTGTGGCGGCGGCTGCTGCTGCTCGTAGTATGGCGTCGGAGTCGGGTAGTACGGCTGCTGCTGCTGGGTGTAGTCAGGAGGAGGCTGCTGGAACTGTTGCTGCTGCTGCTCCCAACACCCATACTCGCTACTGTCTGCGGGCCCCCCGTAGGGCGTGGCACTATATTCTTGGTGCATCACATTTGCATGCCCGTGCGGGAGCCGCCAGTGCGGCTGCTGCGGGCGAGGGGGGGCTGAGTGACCGTACCTTTGCTGCGTTCCGTGTCCGCCGTGAGGTCCGTGCTGAGGTCCACCACCCCAGCCCCCCCCACCGCGGCCGCCTTGCTGCTGCTGCTGTGGGTGTTGAGGACGAGGGTGGTACTGCTGTTGCTGGGGCTGCTGCGGCTGTTGTTGCTGTTGTTGCTGTGGCTGTTGTTGCTGTTGCCGCTGTTGCTGCTGCGGCTGTTGCTGTTGCGATGACTGCTGCTACCGCTGATGATGCTGCTTCCTTCGCTCCTTTTGTCGCTGTTGCTGGTAGCACTCCGCGTTGGTGTGGTTCGACCACGGATGAATGTGACAACGCCTGTCTCCCCTGGTCTCGTTGCTCCTGCTCCGACCGTCGCCTTTGCCGTCCTGTCCGCCGCCGTGCCCACTCGACCCATTTTGGACACCTCCGTCGCCCCGGGGTGCACCCGAAGCGACGAAAGCGTGCCCCACGCCACTCTTTTGCTCCTCCTCCCGCGCGCGCACCAGGTCCGCTTAGGCATCCTTCACGGACTTCTCTATCTTCTGAAGGGTCAAATCTGCCATATTGTCTAGCATCCTCCTCTCAAGGGTGTAATCAGACGACAGGGCAGACACCAGGTGGTCGTTAGCTTCATTGTCTGGGTAAATCGTACCGTGCGAGGCTAGGCTACTTCGTAAAATAGAAAACCTCCCGAAGTACTCTTGCGGGATTTCACCACTCTTCATGTTAAAGTTGTGATACTCCTTCTGTAGTCTTCTGTTCTACACGCGCGTGAGGCTCGTAATATAGGAAGATCCTCCATCCCCCACTCGGACTCCCGTCAGAGACNCTTGCTTCAACACAAGGTTGATCCCCACCTGCCACACTCACACAGACTCGACTCAACGTTCCGTACATCAGCCTCTCCACCAGAGGTTGATCCGGTGTGTATCCACACCGCCCATCCGTAAGGGAACTTGCTCACACGCGAACCTGGAGACAACAGTCTCATAGTGGCGTCAGCGGCGTTACGTGTGTTTGTTGAGTTCTTTGTTCGGTGGTGGCACTACCTTGCAGCAGTTGTCACCATGGGGAACAGGAAAAATCGAGAAAAAAACAAGAGGTCCACTTCCAGGAAGAGGAGGGGGACCAACAGCAGCTCGTCGACTTCGAGCCCGAAGGGGAGGACGA